ACTGATTTATTTTAATACACTATGAAACAATCACAAAATACACAGGTTTGATTGGCTGAATCTTTTTATGCAACAATATTATCCAAAGCATAAAATCTTTGCCTTTGAAAGTTCATTTCCAAACTGCAAATCACAGCATATATCTTGTCTCAAAGCACATTACAAAAATAGTGAATTTATTAACAGATTCAATCAAAAAATAATCGACAGATTAATCAACTCACAAAATAATCGTCAGTTGCAGCCCTAGGACAAAACATACATATTTAAGTCAAGTAAACAGTAAAATATAAATCATATTCTTAAATTCTAAGAAAATTAAATGAAATGTAAAGTTGAATAATTAGCTATTAAAGAGGCTGCCATCCTTGCGCACCACTGGGCTGTCTGAGGTAGGAAATGCAGGAGAAGTGTCTTGCTCAAGGACACCTTTACAGAGATGGATGGAGCAGGGGTTGAAACCAGTGCCCATCCAATTGTAGGGGGAACTTCTTTACCCTACACCGATGTCGCAGTCATGATGTTAATACAGCCTGGTGGTCCCTACATGCTGAGTCCTCCCGCCACCAACTGCAGACATGAAGTCCTCATTAGCGCAGCCTCTGGTGGCTGATCATAGGAGTTAATAGACACATACACATGCAAACACAGAAACACACACAGACATGTCCTGGCCTCCCACATCACTTCCTCCCTGTCAGAGAGAGCTCATTACTGCTAGAATCTAGCCCTCATGCTGAGCCAACCTGCTTTGCTATGCAGTGTTTTTACGCTGGCACAAAATGTCAACTTGCTAAAAGCATCTGCACTCTCTCCTTCCCTACTGAGGAGGGTTGGACAGGCGAACGGGAAGGGAGATGGGTAAAGTGGTAAGAAGCAAGTGAAGCTTCAATAATAGTAAAGGTAAGGGAAGGAAGGAGGGGTGGGTGGCATCCAAAGACAAAAAAAAGCTGCCAGGGAGAAGAACTTTAGTTATTTTCTATAAAATGTTGAACATATGGAAAAGCAATTTTTTGCCATCTGTAAGATTACTTAAGTCTCTGTCTGTATCCCACTACTTACAGTGGAAGGAATCACCATCTTTCAAGTTGTTATGTCCTTTTTTTGTGCTCGAATCTATAAATAAGTTTGAACTTCTGCTGAAATGAGAACACACAAAAATAAAATGCAGACATTTTGGTTTGCATGCAAATGCTTTATTTATGCTAGATGAGAGTATTCCAGCCTTTCTCCAACTAGACAGAGAGCTCATAATAGGGTCAGTGTGTGGGCGGCTTTGGCTGCTGCCATCCTGCCTTCTTGTCTTTCTCCCATTAATAATAGTGTTTGTTCTGTCATGCTTGTGATAATTTTGGACCGTTTATCTAATCATATTTTTTCAAGCCTTCATTGTTGCCCTTGAATCTTATTTGCTGGCCCTCAAAGTGGAACAGCATTTGTGATTTTGGAGCAGATCAGTGCTTAAGCTGTCTTTTAAACCTTGTTTTCTGTATATTGACTGATACCCTGTGTCTTTCTCCACCTGTGCTTTGACTCAGATTGTAACCTAGACAACCTTGTGAAGGTCAGCATGGGGGTAGATGAGGCAGGAGATACCTTTGGACTGACTGCTGCTATGGAACAATGGGAGGTTGCTGTGAATACATTTATCCAAGCACATCAAAGTTTTTCTCTCCTCACCAAACGTTCGTATTCAAAACAGAGAGGCAGCATGCTTTCCGGAACCTACAGCCTTAAACTCTTGATGCTGAAGTCAGATTTTCACCTTTTGAAGTCATTTCCACTTGGATAGATTAAATTTTTAATTTTTGGCATCAAACAAGACTCTGTTAAGAAAAAAATTTTTTGTTCATTTTCATAAAAAATAAATCTTAATTTCCACATATAACCTCAAGGTGCATTAAACTGGTTGACTTAAGAAAGGATAGCTTATTTTTGCCTATACAAATAATGCAACAACCCACAGAGAAAATGTTTTTTAATTATATATTGTAACAGATTGCTGTTATTAGGAACACATTTTTATTTGATGGACACCACATTATGATGCATTTCATTGTGCTACATGATAGAATATATTTTATCATGTTTTTAAGATAAAACAGAGAAACTTTGCTGTACCTTAGTCCTTGACTCACAGGTCAATAAAAAGCAACAAACAAAGGTGGTTTTAGTGTAACGCAGTTCAGTTTAGGAGGACTAAGGGGTTAGATATTCAGAATAATTCTTGGTATTCTTTACCAAGAATTAAAGGTATAGTGGAGGATTTTAGTGATTTTCTTTGACAAGACATGCCCTCTCGACTATTAAAAAAAATGCACATGCACAACCCCGTACTTGCTCCTGAGAGGGAACGCCTATTAACTGCTTAAAAGAACATGCAAAAGCCCATTTCTCTTCGAGGAGTTGCAGGTTTGCAATGAATCTCCCAAAAACACTTTGGTTGTTTCTGTCTTCTAAGGCCTTTCTCTTCTTTTCATACACTTCTTAGACTCTTTTTCTCTTACGACCCTCTGCCATTTTCAAAGAAC